CAGACCTGCGGACGGGACAGGTAAACAAACTGGCCCGGCCCGCCAGGGGCTTTCCCTACACAAGTGGCGACCCCAGTTTGAGAAACACTGATATAGCGGATTCCCCTAAATTTAGATATAGTTAAAGCAGCACAAAAGCTGCATGGAGACCAGGCTTAATTTGCCTTAACAATTCAGTGTTACAGCTGGATCCAAAGCTCATTTAAGTCAGTGGGAGACTTTCCATTGACTTCGGAAAGCTTTGGATCAAGTCCTTACTGCTTAAACCTACAGCTGCATGTTGACTCTCAGTTTTAGGGAAGCTGCTCTGAAAAAAAAATCAGTTCTTTTTCTCATTAAAGAGAAAGTCCTCAGGGTGATATTTTCGAGAGGACTCAGCATCAGACTAGCTCTGCCCCCACTGAAATTAATGGTAAAACTCCCTAAGGCAACCGCCTTAAGCTAATACTAAGCACTTTTGAAAAACCCACCCTTCTATTCGCTCCAGTTTACACAGTAAGTTAAATAATATTGATCTGATTTCTTCACGATGCTAGGCTCCTACAGTTCTTGTTGAGTTCGATGGGAGCTGCAAACAGACTTCAGCACCTTTGAAAAATCTGGCCATCTATTTCTTTCTTTCTTTTTTTTTTTGGATGTGTGTCCATCATCCCTTTACAAACTGATTCTCCTGAGTCATCTAAGTCATTGAACACACAGGGAATGTCCTCCTGGCTGACCTCTGTCTGCACTATGCAGAGGTACCAAAAAAAAATGCTTCATTCTAATTTTCACAGCCTGCATCTCTTGGCAATGGGATGGGACATTGTGGAACTCTATTTTGGCAGCTGTGTCTTTTAAAGGTGGACGGCAAGAGTCCCTTGAAACTCCAGAAATGATGCTCCCTTGTCTCTGAATAAATAATAAGACCATCTGTCTGCATAGTAACGCTCATATTTTACCCACCCCACAACCCCCTCCCCCTTTGGTTTAGAGCCGCTGGTGTTTTGTGTTCTGAAGAAATTCCTTCTCCTAACGTTACAAAGAGGTTGCCAAATATTTGGGACCAGGCAGGGGGCGAGATTGCCCCTTACCTCCCGCGCACACTTCTACTGCAGCATCTTCTTCCTTCTCAGTTAATGCAATTGATCTTAGGAGTCTGGGGTTTCTTTAAAGACACGCAGTGCTACTGAAAGATTTTCCAACCATGTTTTTCTAGCACCTGGCAAAGTATTTTGAAATATGACTCAGGCACAAAAAGACAGTAAAAGCAGCTGGTGGGACACTGCGGAAGGGTGTTAGAACCAGTTTGTGGACTTCAAGAATAACTCAGCCCGGGACCGGATTCCTGACCCTCTTCAGAGAGGCAACACTTTCGTTTCTCCCTTCCCCTTCTCCTCTCTCTCCTAACTCCTTTTGCTTTTCCTGTTCTCCTTCTTTCGCTCGTTTTTACTCCATTTCTCTCCCTGGATCGGTGTGTTCCCTGCTAAGCACACTGCGGTCTCGTCCTCCCTTCCCTGGCAGTCACACATATCCCGTGGCCCCTGAACAGACTTGCTGGACTCCCAGCTCTTGCCTGGAAGGGGCTTCAGTCATGTCATTCCACCCTGCCAACCACAGCTCCCGGCCAGAGTCACGGTGCCAGTGAAGGATGAAACTGCTCCCACGTCAGCACTGAAGTTTGAGCCACATTTTCTGCCTCTGGCACTGGCCAGCAGGGAAAAATTACAGTACTTAATTTGTAATGAAAGAGGTGCCCAGGCTCAATTATGTTCAGGGGCTCAAGCAATTTTTTTACTTTTATAACTGAGCTAGCAAGCCCAGAGATGCAGGGGCTATGAACTGCCACCCAGAGGTGCTGGGGGGGGGGGAGTATGAACTGCCAAGCCCAGAGGTGCCAGAGCTCAGCCCTGCTGGCACAAATTAAGCCCTGGAAAATTACCTTCCCTGCAAGGCACTGGCAAAGCAGCGCTCTCCCCCTCCCCCCCCTTTGGTAGGTACATTTCCAAGCCCTGCCTGCTCTGCGTAACCCATCCTGTTCAGGCCAGTGTCACCCACCCAGTGCAGGCAGCAGACAGAACCCAGCCAGGACATGGGCAATTTCCTGCCAGATCCTGCATTTGTCCAAAGGCTGGAGCAAGCCCAGGGTAAGACGGGGAGGGGGCTCTCCCTACCTCCTAGCAGCGCTCTTTGATCTCCCACATCTCCAGGGTAGCCTGCCCAGTGCTGGGTTTACAATAGCGTCAGTGACGCCATGGAGCCGGGCCCATGCTCAGAAGGGACCCTGGCCTTCTCTGCTTCCACTACACCCCAAGGCCCCGCCAGCCCGCTGGGTCCCCCTCCACTTGCTCCTCTTGGCCTGCCCACTGGCCAAGGGTTCATCTTCACCCCCTGACCCCACCTGCTAGGTTCTCTCTGCCTCCTGGCCGGATCCCAATGCACCTCCAGCTCCAGGCAGTCTCTGCTTTCCACCACCTGGGGGGCCCCACCTGTCTCCCTGGAGCTGAGCTGCCCGGGACTGGTGCAGAAGCCTGGCCAGTCTCAGCCAATTGGGGGAGGGCAGTGTGGGGGGGTTGGCTGGACCCCTCCATGCAAATGGGTTCTGAGAGAGCCCAGCCGGGACAGGCCCTGGCCTGGCTGATCGCGCCACTCCTGAGGGGCCAGAGCGATTCCCCGCCTTGGGACCAGCCCTGGTTGTGCTGCCGGCCAGGAGGCAGGGCATGCGGAGTGGGTCTCTGGAGGGCCTGGGTGGGCGGGGGTAGAAGGGGAGAGGGTCCTGGGCTGTGAGGGAGCCGGAAAGATCTCTGTGAGTGGAGGTTCTGTGTGGGGTGTTGGGCAGTTGTGGTGATGTGCAGGGTGCTGTGCATTTGTGGCACGGTCGGGGAGGGCCCTGGGCATAGCGAGTCTGTGGGGGCTCTGGTCATAGGGAATCGGGGGGGGGGGTGTATTCCGGTGTTGGGCAGCATGGGCCCGCCCCGGAGGGGAAGGGGCACGCTGGCAGCACAGGGCCGGGCGGGCCATTGTGCATCTGGCAACTGCCGGTTTGTAAATGGTGCCCTTGCACTGGGCTGGGCAGAGCAGGGCCGCCCCTGCCATGCCATGCCCCCGACCGGCCCCTCACGCCGGGGACCGACCCCCCGCGCCATGCCCCATTGCCCCCAGGGGGCTCACAGATATGTTTGGCGCCGGGCCCACAACAGGTTAATCCGGCCCTGAGCCTGCCTGGCAGACGCAAGTGACACCGAAGAGGCTGGTAAGCGTGATGCGGGGTGAACGTGGGATCAAGGGCGCTGGAACCATTTGTGTGTGTGTGTGTGTATGCTGAGAGCCATTGAACCAAACCGCAAACCCTGTATATGATGGGAACCCCTTCAAGCCAGGGGGTGCAGCAGCCCTGTGCATGGGATGGCGGCTTTCTCCTGGGGCCCCCCTCAGCCAGTCTCTGGCGCTCCTCCAGCCCCCCCAGGAGCTTGCCTCCACCGCTGCAGGAGTCAAGGCAACGTGACGTGCAGCAACTCGCCCGGGTTTTCCGAGCAGCCCGGGGAGAGAGAGCGAGAGCGAGACGCTCCCCCGAGCGTGCCCTTAAAAACGTGACCGCCTCGGGCGGCACTGCAGAGCCCCCACCCCGCCCACGCGCCGGGCGCCGAGCCGGCCGCGCGCCGCGCTCCTGCCTGCCCCGGGAAGCGGCCGGGAAATGGGGCAACCGCGCGCCAGGAGCTCGCCTCTGACGCAGCAACGCAAGAGAACAGGCGGGACGTGCCGCGGGCGCGCAGCCCTATGGAGTTGAACCAGCGTTGCACACCCGGTCCTTTCCCTTACCCTGCGGAGACGCCCCCTTGCTCCCCCCCCCCCCCCGCAAAGGTACCCACTTCCCTTGCAACGGGCCTGGGCTCTGCCCCCAGGAAATGGCAGGGTTGGGGCTGCAGCCGCGCCAATGCCCGGGCCGTCCAGCAAAGGGGTTACATAAGCCGGCACGCTCTGCTAGCAGAGCTCTGCAGTGCCCAGGCCCCGGGGCACAGGCTGCAGGCTTGGACTCCCCCCGCCCCCTCCTTTGGTGGTGCTGGTGGGGTGTTAATTCCTATTTCAATGGGCGCCCCCGCCTGGGTTGTGTTTCGAACAAGACACGGGATCTGCCCCAGCGCACCGGCGTGGGAGCGACTCTGGCTCAGGACACGCAGGGGCCCCAGGGCACATCCGCGAACCACAACTGCTGCCCGGTCTCTGGTTCGAAGCCCGGATTAGCAATTAACGCCGTTCAGTGCAGGAGTGCACCAAGGACAAGCGAGCAGCCCGGAGTCACACGCGTGGGCGCGCACACTCGTGTTATGGGGCCCCCGGGCACGGCTCGGCAGGCATGCCCCTGTGTGGAGAGGAAGGCAGGTAGGTACTGCCGGATTCAGAAAGGGGGCGTGGGGTGGCGAAGGGGGTGGAGGAAGGGAACTGGCGAGCAATTGAGTTGGGCAAACGGCTCAGTTGCCGGGCTGCTGGCGGCAGAGGAAGGTATAAGTAAGATCCGGACGGGCGCATTTCCCCCCTCCCCAAAGCCTGCTGCTGTAGAGGTGGGTGTGGAAGGGCGAGTGAGGCAGGGGGGCGCCCCCCAGCACTTTGCAACGTATGTCACAGGGACGCTGCTCCCTTTGCACCCCCCTCGGCTCTGCACCGGTGGCCCCCCGCCAGCGCCGCTGTCCCAGGTGCTGAGCGGCACAGCTCGGACTCTGCCGCTCTCCGAGGTGCTGAACCGGGCTCTGCCTCGGCGGGCGAGCGCCGCTGTCCCGGGTGCTGACCCCTCCGCCCAGCCGCTGCTGCAATGTGCACAGGGCAGCCGACCGGAGACGGAGGCTGCTGACCCCAGGGAAACAGGGCTTTATAAATAGCTCCCCCCCTCCCCGCCCCCTTCCGCGGGCAGAAATAACCTGATGTGGAGGTTACCGCTCTCCTCCCAGCCGGCAGCAGCCCTGCCTGCCCCGTGCCCGGGGCTCTAGGCAGGAGACAAAGGGCTCTGTCCAGGCGCGCTCCCTTACCTTGGCTTCTGCCGAGTCCGGTGCAGGCAGCCCGGCGGCGGGTTCTCAGCCCCTGGGCTGCGGCTGCGGCTGGGAGGGAAGGACAGTCGCTCCTGACCTCCCCAAGCCTCCTTCTTCAATGGAACGGGAGCTGTGCCCTCATCAAAGATGGCCGTCCCTTCCCACGTCAGCAGCTTTTAATAGACATCTATCAGGGGGTGGGGGGAGGAGAGGAAGGAGGGGGGGAGAGTAGTCTGTGGGAGCCTGAGTCGTCAGATGCTGCTACTGCACTGCAATCCTTTGCATTTCCCCTCCAGTTAATAACAGAGAAAACTGGCCCCAGAATTAGCTCAGCAACCATGTGATGGGCTGTGATTATCCATGTGCAGCATGCAGCCGCTGGTTTTCTGGGTGTGTGTGTGTGTGCGGGGGGGGGACTGCTGACCGCAGCTTTGCTTTAATCATTTTTTTTAATGGGGAGGGCAGAGAGAGAATGCAGTAGTGGTTTGTTTTCGCCAAAGGGGTGGTCCGAAGAGGGTATCCCTGTGAAGTCTCTGGTACTCCATATATGGCCAATCTACGTGGGCTGCTATCTTTGTATGTGATTTCTTCGTCGTCTTCTTTTTTTTTCCAGAGCATCATGTCAGGGGGTCTTTGTGTATTAATCTGATCATTTTCTCCCCTCAAAGCAAAACCAACCAAATAACCAGATTTAAAGACACACAACAGAGTTGATCGTTTGGGGGGAAACATCATCAATTAAAACAAACCCACCCCCAGCAGGGATAAAAATGGTTAATCCGTTCCAAGAGAAACAATGTCTTATTTATTAATGGAACGATCATTTCAGAGCACATCCTATTTGGAACAACTCTCTTAGTTAGTTTGAATTTTAAAAGTGGAAATCAAAATGCACAGAAGAGTGCTTTGGTTTCATACAAAATGTTGGCTGTTTTTAAATAAAGTGCTAGGGTCTCCCTCATGCCATCGACTATAGCGCCCATTTTATTCTATACAGATTGATATGATTTCTTATGGAACCATCCAAACCTAAAATTAAAACAAATATAAGACAAGAGGCTTCATTAATTTCCCAGCCTCAGACATTCTTGTAACCAGAAACGATTTGGTAACTGCTCAGTGCACACATTAAATCCTGACACTCAATTCACAGGCTTTTTTTTAATAAAGTGTGGATATTATTGAGTCAAAATGCAATTCCCAGATTAGGGATAATTCTAGCCTAATCAAATTCATCTGGCGTGGCAGGGAAAACCCGGCGAGAGATTAAATGCTATGCAGCTGTATTTGCATCTCCTATTATGGTTGTCTGGTGGAGTGAGTGGGAGAGAACAGAGAAATGCGGGTGATTTCTCCCCCCATGCTCTGTTGTGCCCCACAGAAAAACGTGATTGTCGATCGTGCCTGGCAATCACAGCAGCTCATACCCCCTCCCACAAAAATATGTCCTTGTTTAAATAAGACATCAAAAGTTTGCTAATTATACCACAAAGAATTTCTCAGACAAGAGGGGCTCTCTGATACATGACAGTATCCAATAGTCTATGCACACGAAAGACTCAGGAAAGGAAACAACCGGTCAGGTTTAAGGTTTGTAAGAATATTATATAAATATATTATGGCTGTGTAGGTCTCATGTATCCAGTTAAAATATTTGGAAAAAGATCCCCTTTAAAACTAATTAATAAGAAGATTTATTAACATCAATGCCAATTTTGAAAAGCAAGCCATTTTCCATCCAGCTCGTGTTTGTATTAACATTATCCATTGTTTTGATTAGGTAAAGATTCCAGATGTCTAGATAAAATCCAGAATGTCAAAAATCCAGAGTCTGCAGATACATTTATTATGGTTTCTAAATTATCAATACAAATCTAAAGTAAAAAAAATAATTAAACAGTCTATTAGACAGGCTCTTTGAAATTAAATTTGATTTCCAATAGAACAATGCTAATCATTATGAATAATACACAATAATTAACAATAAAGAGGTGAAACAAAAGGCAAGTTTGTTTTGCTTAGGTCAGTAGCACTGCAAAATCCTGGTTGGTTTTGGATTCATTCCAAAGAATGCCTTTGAGGAGCATTACAGCCCATTAGAATTAAACCCTGGATGAATTTGGTCCATTATAACAAAAGTTGGGGGAGGGGGCGTGGAAACGGTGCTGATGGCAACATAAAATTCAGCTTTAGAAAAACTAAAAATGTCCAACAGCAGACTTTGTGACATAGGGGAAAGGAAGGGGAAATCCATACAAAAAGTGCGATGTCACAGATGGGGAATATCATTATGCAGACAAAAACATTACTAACAAGGTCAATTGTAAGAAAATTGGATTGGGATATAAAATGTGCTTTCAAGCCCCACTGTACCACACACATATTTTAATAAAACAAAGTGAGACCAAATGATTAAATAGACCATGAACAATGACCAGTAGTCCTAATGAGAGTAACTATCTATCTTGTGTTTATGTCTAAAGTTATATGGGTAAGGGAAACGTTATATGTTGTTTAGAAACGTGGAATAATCTGTTCTGAGAGATACAAGGAGGCAGCCTTTTGCAGCCAAGCACTAAGAATTCTATTGAAAGAAATGCTACTAAGCAAATTTTAGCTGATTCAGGAGCACTCTTCTGATACTTGGTTTTCAAAAAAACGAACAAGTGGGATGCATACGAGTTTATCACATTGTTATGATAATACTTAAACATTCATTTAATAGTAAGTATGAGAACGGATGGAAACAAGGCCTAAAAACAAGGTAGCAGGAGAGACAGAAGATAAGAACTGAAATTTGGTCTAAGAATGATTCAGCTCCCTCATCATTATTCAGGAAAATATTCAACAAGCTGAACAGTTAGAACATGCAGGCACAATCCATGAGTAATGAGAAAATGAACATGCTTTTCTGGATGCAAATGTACATTATATTAACAGGATTCCTATGTTATTGTCAGTGAATCTACTGAGGATATTGAATGCAGAACCTGTAGCACATTGATAGTGTGAAAACCACTTTTGTTTCATACATGGCACAAAGCTTTCATACATCACTCAAGAAATCAGAAAGATTTCTGGTTTTAGATAGTGAAAGTTATCCAGCTGGTAAAATAATAATAATAATAATAATCTCTCTCCTCATCTGCAGCCTCCAAAAATGCTTGTGTGCTGCAAGGGTATGCTGGGTAGAATTTTTAACAAGGAGGTTTTATATTTTGTGTAAATATATTTTATATGTTTGTATGTGTGTGTGTATATATATATACATATATATATATACACCAGTGCTCATAAGACCTGATCCAGAGCCCACTGATAGATGCCCAAATTTTCCAAGCCTAGGAATTTTTGAAATGCCTTAAACAAATATCCTGTTTATTGATTTATTTATTTGCGCTTGAAAATATATAGGCTGGTAATAGATTCTCCTGACTTACTTGCCAAGAGAGAGACATGGTTTTTCTCCTTTGGAATGTGAATTTTCACAGAGTATTTGAATGTTTGAAGACACACAGGCTACCAGTTTCCAAACCTGGGTGCATAAAATTATGCATCTAAATACATATTTTGGCACCTATGTGGAAGTGACCTACTTTTCAGAGCTGCTAAGCAATAGGAGCTGTCAGTGCTCTGAAAATTGAGCCATTTTTATTTAGGTACTCAGATACTGCCTTAGGTGTTTAACCTTATACAGCCAAATTTGAACATTTTGCCTATACCGAGTAATGTTTGTGAAAGAATAGCCATTCAACTCCCCTTATTTTTAACTGTCTCATCAATATGATGAACCACTGACATTTGTTTTGTGCCTGATTATTAGAGGAGCTGAGCATTACCATGGGAGATGTGAGTGATCAGTACATCTCAGGATCAAGACCTTTATGTCCAATTTATAGCCGCTTTGTATCTTACACTGAATTTGGCTGAGACATATAACTACCTACTCCAGGCTGCATTTGATTAAATTTTCAGCCCTGACTAGATCTGAGCTGCATTGTTTTTACACCTTCAGGATATACAGATATAGAACAACATAGTAAAACCATATTTTTAAAGAGTGAATCTGTGATTCAACCCAGCTCATTTGCATACCCAAGATTCAATTCAACTTTATTTGGTGAAGGTATAAACAGAGATTTAAAATGAAAATTCTAACGTATGGTGTGATCTAATGCCCAATGAAATCAGTGGAGAGATTTCCATTGACGTCGCTGGACACTAACTAAAGAGAGGAAGGAAACTCTAGTAGCTAGGGCACTAGCTTAGGACTTGGGAGACCCTGCTTCAAGTCCTTGCTCTGCCATGGACTTCTTGTGTGACCTTGGGCAAGTCACTTAGCCACTTGGTGCCTCAGACCTCAATCTGTAAAATGCCCTGCCCTCCCTCCCAGGGGTGTTGTGAGAGTACATTAAAGATTGTGAGGAGTTCAGATACTATGGTAATGAGGCCTACATAAATCCCTAAAATAGACAGCTAGTTCTGGTCCCTAGTCTTGCCATCCTTACTCAGGCAAAGCTTCCAAAGACTTCCATGGGAGATATGTGCTCAAATGAACTGTAGGATGAGGACCTTAACTACAACACCACTGCTAAGATAATTTCAATATGGAAGACTATAGACGAGAGTGACAAGGTGGGTGAGGCAGTATCTTTTATTATAGGCGAGAGTGGTATTAGTTCACAAATGGCAAAATTTGCTTGTGGTGTGGAGGGAAGGTCAGCACAAACTCCTCAGCTCCCAGGCCTCACAAAGCTGCTCCATGGGGGTTCCCTTGGCAGGGGCAATTACACCAAGCCCGTGGCCCAAGTAATTTGTCCAACTAGCATAAATAGCCGCTGGGGGCGGGGGGGTGTGTGATGCTGTGTGGCAACCCTGGGTTGGGAATGGATTTCACACCCCCAATTACTCTGCACTCACCCTGCACAGGGTCTGAATACATGGGCTCAGTGCAGACTGGAGTGGCTCTCACTCAGAGAGTAAACCTTTGTAATGAAGGATTGCTGGTTGAATATTTACCAATGAAATCAGTGCATAGTGGCAGATCTAATTTAGATCTTTCC